TATTTTGGGTTGCCTATTTTAAAAACATAAATGGGTCATCTTAGCTGAATAACCCTGTATATATATATTATTATTATTAATAATACAAAAATAAGGATAGAGGTAAAACCTATGCATCCAAATAGAAATAAGAGACAATTTCAATAACAAAAGAAAAAAAAAAGCTGCACTCCTAAATAATACAAATAACTGGATATACTAAAACTTATAAATTGAATGCGTCGAATCTGTTCTTGAAGCAGTTAACACTGGGAGAATTAACAGTTGTATCAGGAAGGCTGTTCCATTGGTTCTTTCTTTGATCAAATTGAACTAATGTCTTCTGAGTCTATCATTGATATTCAAATGATACATGTACGCTAAGTTCGATCCTATGATATTATGCAGTACTTTGAAAGTGAAAATTTGGTCGCCACGGGATCTTCTGTTGGCTATGGTAATCCATACATTTCAAGCTGTTCTTCATAGCATGGTCTTGTCCTACTAAATGGTAAGCGGGTTGCGCGCCGCTGGACAGCTTCCAATTGGTTGGTGTCCCTAATTAAGTCACAGCTCCATACTGGACCGCAGAACTCTAAAATTGGTCGAACATAAGTTATACAGGATGTCTTAGAAATAAGTACATTAATTTTAATCAGTTATAGAGCTCATTGAACTGAGCAACTTTTTTTAATAGAGTTTTGTCAAGAACTTTTTATTTATCAAGTTAAAATTTGTTAAAGTTTTATCTCAATTAAGGTTACCCACCCATGGATCCTCCGTCAACCATGGACACTAATAATTATTATAATTAATAATTTATGGTCAAAAACAGTTACTAGGAGACGTATTTTCCTAATCTTGTTAACATGAAAACATTAATTTATAGAGAGAAATTGAAAATGCTGCTCCCTAATGGTGTACGGAATTTCATCGGCCCAAATGTGGGTGTTGATTACACCTTCCCTCGTGTAACCGGCCTCATCATTTGATGGTATAAGAGATACAAAATTTGCTTGTTTGTTTATTTTTCTATTAACCCACTCACAAAAGTTTTGCCTACGTGGTAAGTCTGCTGGTTTCAATAACTGAACTTTCTGGTCCTGAAAGGGGTACAGTTGTTCTCTGAGTATCGTCCAAATACTACTCTCCGAAACATCACACTAGACAGTGATGCGTGCTAGTGCCCGCTCGAGCTTCGACACTCCTCAAAGCAGCCTCTTCAATATTAGCAATTCTATTACTACGTAACTTACCCCGATCCTGAGGTGCAAGTTTAAAAGATCCGTACTCTCGAAGATGCTGCAACGTTCTTCAAGTGCGCACATTTGGCAGACGACGATTTGGGAGGTTTTCTGAAGAAATTCTTTGGACGCGAGCGCCGTTTCCCCGAGGTTCACCGTACGTTAAAACGATATCGGTGCATTTCAAATTTGAAAACAATGCCATTTCAGCACATTTCGTCTATAAATTAGAAATTTGCGCCAAACAAATTTTAAAGAGACAACGTTTAATAACATACACTTGACATAAAAATGATTGTCAGTGTCAAAACGGTTGCTAGGGTACCTTCGTCATTATTGTAGTGTTGTTATTATTTAAGTTATTATTTAAGGTGAACATAAACGGCTTGTAAATATATGGGCGGGAAAATTCGAAATTCGACTTGAATTTTCGAAAAAACGCTACATAAAAAAGTTGTTCCGTTTCACGAGTTCTGTTACTCGTTAAAATTAATGTGCTTATTTCTGAGACACCCTGTATAGAGCTTTTTCGTTAGTGCAATATTCAATGAGACAAATGTTCGGCTTATCAAATACAGTTGACGGTTGGCTTTGTTACAAATGTTTGCAATATGAGTAGACCATTCTAACTTGTTTGTAACAGTTACACCTAGGTCACAGTCTGACGTTTCTTCTTTTAGGCGATACTTTCGTAACCAGTAGCTGTTCTTGGGATTATCGGGACCGAAATACAACACTGTACATTTGTCGATGTTGAGAGGTAGTAGCCAGGTTTCGCACCATTGATAGATTATATTTAGATCTTCCTGTATGTTGTCATGATTACTTGAGTGATCGTAGATTTTTGAATCGTCAGCCAAAAAGGGAGATTTGGAGGAGATGAGTTTGGGAAGGTCGACAATGTATATGATAAAAAGAAGCGGTCCTAGGACACTACCCTGGGGAACCCCACTTATGACAGGTCCAAAAATAGAAAAAGTCTGTCCCACACGTACTTTAAATGATCTTGTTTACAGATAAGCCTCGATCCAGCTTAAAAGTGTTCCGGTTACTCCGTATGATCTGAGTTTGAGAAGCAGTCTTCTTTTGGGAATTCTGTCGAATGCCTTCGAAAAGTCTAAGTAGATGACGTCAACAGAGATACGACTTTGGAAGGCTTTAGTCCACTCATCGATACACTGGAATAGATTGGTTGTTGCCAATCTTCCGGCAATGAAACCGTATTGATCGTCGGGGATTATGTTGTTGTCGATGGCGAATGCGAACAACTTATCAAATATGATTTTTTCCATCAACTTAGAACAACTAGGTAATAGACTAATGTGTCTGTAATTGTCTGGGTGTAGCTTACTGTGTTTTTTGTATATTGGTGTAGTAATAGCACATCTCCAGTCGTCAGGTAGATTACTAGTTTTGAAAGAAGAAGTCATTAATGTGGCTAATAGTTTGGATAGTACAAGGCTGCCTTGTTTCAAAATATTAAGTGGTATGCCATCTACACCTGGGGCAGTGTTGCTCTTTGATTTGGTAATATATGATGAAACAATGTTATCAGTAAATTCGACATTACTAAGTTGGTTTACAATGCTTGTTCTGAATACGGGTAACTCATTGGTTCGTCGGTAAATGATGATGCGTTGGTATCTGCCAAAAGCTCAGCTACTTCGAAATCGCAATTACATAAGTTGTCATTTGGTTTTTTGAGTAAGGGAATGCTAACTTTTGATGACATAGTTGTTCTAAGATATTTATAAAAATTTTTAGGGTCATTATTATATTCTTTTCGTAGTTTTGCCTAAATTGTCTGATTTTTTTGCTGACTCTATTCGAGTGTTGTCTATGGCGAAGAAGACTGTCCGGTGTTGAATTTCTCAAATATGCTCTCCACAGGTATTTTTTCAGTTTGATGCTCTTCAGGAGGTCGGAGGTGATCCACGGTTTTAAAGGATTGAATAATTTTGTTTTTGTGCGACTGTTTCTTGCAAGAGATTCACGAACTGTTGTTTTGAACCGAGACCGTTGTTCGTTTACGTTATCTAATTCAAGAAGCATATCCCAGTTAACTTGATTGAGTTCATCCAACACGTTTTCCCAATCCGTTACTGTGACACTTTTGGCTTGGTTTTTAGATGTATTTCTAATGACGACTTGCATGTTTGTTAGTAATACCACATGATCGGATTTTCCAATATTGGGTAGATCGTTTATTTCGCTGAATAGTTGGAGATCGGTTGTCAAAATTAGATCTAGAAGCGACGGAGCTTGACCCAGTCTGAACCGTGTAAATTGACTGACTAACTGATGTAAGTTTGCATTTTCTAGCATGTTGAGAAAATCCTCAGACGAAGTGTTCCTATCAGGAAAAGGTCAATGTAAGTTAGGATAGTTAAAGTCTCCAAGCTCCAAATATAATTAGGTTCTTGTACTGTTGTGACAAAGCGTTTATAGAGTTGAAGAGAATTGTATCTGATTCGGGATTTGTACTGGGGGATCGATATACACAAACTGAACAAAAGTCGAATGTGGAAGAACGAAAGTACAGTGCTAAGGATTCACAACCGGGACAGAAAACGAGATGTTGGTAATTTTGAATTCTCTAAAGGCAATGTTATTAATATAAATGCAGCATCCTCCTCCAGTTTGGTTTAAACGGTCGCATCGATAGATTGAATAGTTACGAATAATAGAAATGAGAGAATCAGGAATCTTACTAGAAAGATATGTTTCAGTGATAAGCATACAGGCTGGTTGTAATGATTGAACAACAACAAGGAATTCATCAAATTTAGCAGATAATGGTAGGTTTAGAAGCAAGGTTTGGGCTGTTACTTTTTTGTAATGGTTGCAGCACCTCTGATATATTTAATCGTAAGATCTTTTTCTCCTTCTGATGTACGTCTCGCAACTTCGGCACGGAGCTCCTTCAGGTTGTTTAGTTGATGGGGGGTTTTATCATCAGTAATTTTTAAGTTCTCAAATTCGCTGTTTATTAGGCGCTTTTGGTTTCTCAGGCAGGTTTTGGTGTAACTCGCGTCAGTAAGAATTATTTTAAGAGGCCGTGGCTTGTTTGTCGTGGTCTTTCCCAAGTGAATGGCTCTAACTGGCAAACATGACTCTTCACCAGACAGTACTATGGTTAGTTCATTCGCCGTGTTCTCATCTTGCTTCTGTTGCTCTTTGGGGTTTCCAGTCAACTCAGCAACACCGTGGACTATAATATTTTTGGCACGCGTAATACGTTCAACTGCCTCAGCAGCAACTTTTTCAATCACCAGTTGAGTTTCGGTCAAACTAGTTTGGTTTAAAATTTTGTTTTCAAGTGTTTCTATTTTCTTAGAAAGCTGTAGCAAAAGCGGTCTTATGTCTACTGCACTACAGTCGTTACAGTAGATTTTAATACATTTGGATCTATTTCGCGTGATTCGTGCATGATCTTCAGAAGTGATTCCTACACAACTAAAGTGCAATGATCGAATGCAGGCATCACACTGCGAACAGTTATTGCGCGAATCGCATTGTTGAGAACAGTTTGCGGAGGTACTCATCGTTTCGGAGGGGTTCCCGCAAAAACTTATCAGATATAGTTGATAATAGGAAAATTAGAGATAACTCACCAAGAAATGAATTTTCACAGGAATGGTGAAATATGCGTATTCTGAGCTTCAGTATGATACTAAATATGTCTGACATCTGTTAGTATTACGCTAGCAGTTTGATTAAATGACGGAGCAATCACCCACACTTGTTGTCTCACAAAATGGTTCATATGATTCGGTTTCAAAACGTTCTACGACGTCTTCCGACTCCTAACCGCCATTCTTCCCTATCTCTCCATTGGCTTTCTGGTAGATCTCGTTCTTTTATTTCTTTATCAATTCTTGCCCGCCAACTTCTTCTAGGTCTCCTTCTTTTCCTCCTTCCGTGTGGTGTCCATGTCAAGATTTGTTTTAGAAGTCTATTTTCAGCCATTCGCTGTACATAGCCATACCAGATCAATTGTTTTGTTTTGATGTCGTCAATTATTGTATGTGTGACCCCCATGATTTCTCGAATTCTGTCATTTGGTGCTCTGTCCTTTCTCGATTTACCTGCCGACCTCCTCCAGTAGTCCATCTCCGTTATCAGTAGCATTTTCTCAGTGTCTTGTTTTAATTGCCATACTTCGCTGCTATATGTGACGATGCTCTTCACAATACTGTTGTATATTCGGTGTTTGTTCGCTTTTGAGACATGTGGATCTCACAGTATTCCATTTATCATGGACATGGCTTTTCTTCTTTGCGAGTTCCTTTGTTTCATTGCTTTGTCTTGAGTTCCGTCCTGTGTTATTTTCATCCCGAGGTACTTGTATTCCTTGCAATATTTGATTATTTTATTATTCTCTAAGACAATATTCTGTCCAGGCCCTCTAATACTCATATACTCTGTTTTCTTTACATTTACTTCCATACTATTTCCAGCACTTGCCAAGATACTGGCAGAAGTGCGACGCAAGTAGTAACGGGTATATGCTGATGATTTTCTAAATTAAGATATCTGACTACTAAAAGTGACAAAAAATAGATTATGAGGTGTCTTTAACAAACGACATGCTGAATATTTTCTAATAATTTCTAACAAATTAACGTTTTCCAGATTTCCAAGTAACTATAATATATAAATGATCTCCCCGGTTTTGTCTCCACAAGCTTTACTAAAAAGTAAGTTTCATGGTCTTCGACACAAGTGCTTTTTAAAGAAACCTTGCCGTCTAGTAGCACCGGCCACTCCAGAAATTAAAATGACTTACAGTTTATTAACTTAGATGCTTGCATTCGAAATTACCATTAACCTACCGTGCTTTTTTTGGTTCGCGCCCTTTCCCTTTTTTTTTAAGATATAGAATGAGACCAGAAAATTTACTAATGTCTGTCCCCTCCTGCAAATTAATTGTTGAACGCAGCATAGAGTATTATGTCCAAAGGGAAGAATTCTTAAATAACAGTAATTCGCTGTTAAAATATACCAAAAGGCAATCTTCGGTCGTTTTATGGATATATTTTTGTCGCATACCAGAACTGGAAGATTCTGTAAGCGTTTTCGTATAAATCTTTGATTTGTTCGGCAGCAGTTGCAAAAATTGGCCAAGATTCAACAAAATTGTACAGCTAAATACCATAAATTTAAAAAATCCATTCATCAAACAATTCATTTGACTGTGACAACGGCAGTGCGTACTAAAAATTATTAACAATTTTAAAATGGAGATCAAAGAGTTGCAAAAAAATCTTCTGTTGAGTCAAACATAAAGGTATATCACACGTAAACAATACCTTTAATATTTTTAAAAATTAAATATTTATTATATTATATACTTTGAAAAATTAAAAATTTTGAGTCCATAATATGGAAAGCAGGCATAGGATTCCAAAAATTCCCACCGAAGATGAAGATTGTCAAACTGGCTAATTTTTTCGGGTCTGTGGTTAAAAAACAAGGCAACAAACACATTTTCCAGCATCCTTGAAAACGGCGCGAATAAGAATACGACCAACCGAGTGCGAAATAGAGCTTCGACAAAACAGATTTATTTAACAGATGCAAAAAAAAAGTGGAAAGGTTAGCGTTGCCCCAGTAGTTTGTTAACCAGTCATTTAATATGTGGGACGGGATGTCTAATCTTTCTGACGGAAAAAAATTTGAATTATATGGTAATGGAGAATTCGTATTTTCCGACCGGCTAGAGTACGGATCAAGAAGAGTATGTTCACGGACCAAATCAGAGTAGTCGTTTTGCTTTGAATTTATGGGGATGAATTAGTAGAAGAGGTCCTACGGTATGTTTAATTGTTGAGAATCGACTAAATGCTGTAGTGTATAGGAGAATTTTAGACGAAGTTTTGATTCCATCAGTTTGGTCCATATTTGAAGACCATAATTTTATATTTCAAGATATAATTATTATTATTTCTGATTCAGTGCTTTTTATTTAAATCAATTTTAGGATAACTATGCAGTCCATCGAGCAGGCAACAGTTGAGACTTACATGGAAGAACACGGAATAAATAGATTACCACGGCGGTCCGAGGGCTGAAGTTGAATTTACCCGGCAACTGGTGTCATCAATGCCTCATCGTCAACTGCAAAATGTTGCCGACACAGATGGTGGAATAACAAAATGTTAATTGCTTATTTAATAAAATATATTTACTGGTTCAGTGTTTTCAAAAAATAAAAATTTACGTATTGTTGTTCAAATTACAGTGGCGGTCAAAATAAAGCTAGACACATTTCTTTCCCCAGTGTAACTTTCAAATTTGTATTGTCCTTTAAATGGCATTGTCAATCAACATCGATTCAATTGAATCCAGTTTACAAAACTAAATTTCTTGAAAAAATTCTTTCACGAGGTGTCCTACTTTATTTTTGCCGCCACTAATATTAACGATATTATTATTTAATCATTGTGATAACCCAAACATTCCGCCAAAAATTGACATGTCAACAAAATTTGAAAAGCCGGCAAAATTTTGAAAAAGTGGCCATGGACGGTGATTATCAACAACTGTGGGACCCTACATTGTGTTTGAAATGGCGGAATGCGTTCTGATACAAATTGGCGCAATGCGGGGCCGGAAGAGTGTAGGAAATCAAAGTCAACTGTAAAGGGGAACATCTTTTTATTTAATTTGGACAAAGTATTTAGAATGTTAAGTGAAATTAATGTATATCACAAGAATAAGCAAGTGGCCGAAAAGTTGGTTCCTCCTTTGAGAAAAGGAAAAATCTATGAACTAGTCCTAGCGGTCCTAGTCTCGTAGCGGTAAAACCTCTCCATCTTTTTTCAAATCAAATTCAGTTTACAATTCCAAATACAATTATTGCAAACACCGGGAGTGACATACAAAATTTAAGTGAGCAAAATCCTAGCCAAAGTAAATGGATGGCAATGCACCGACTATTATTATTGTGGCGTGTTGATAGGTGTTGTTATTAGCTGTCGGCAAATGAAAAAGATTTAAACCTCACAATTTAAGAAACGTGAAATTATCAACACAAGCAGTTGCAGGCCCTGTCTTTTTGACCGTCTCTTCGCTACATAAGACCACGCCGCGGTGCCCCCACAAGCGCCACGCTATCTTTATGCTGGCCGCTTCCTACCAGTAGAGTTTCCTTTACCAGCGGGCTACCATCCAGAAGTCCCCACGTTGGTGGAATCTGGTATTGTGAAAAAAACAGCCATATGAATGGGAGGAAAAATTAAGAAGAAAAAAATGTTCAATCCGGACTAGGCCAAACTGCGCTCCCGTAGACTAATTACTACGTTATTTTTGATTAATAGTTTAACTAAAATTCAACTTAATATTCTTGAAACTTCAAAATGACTGAACCAATGCAAAGGTTGCAAAGAAAGCAATAATATTTAATTAATTTCCCATATAGATAAAAACACATACGAAATCAACAAAACAACACATAAAATACGCAAAATAAATAAAACATATATGCAATCATGGGTGCACATTCTCTTTGAATTGTGCATTTCTTTCAATAAACGTTCATTAGTCCCGTCGTATCTTTTCGTCCTTAGGGGAGAACGGAGTACACACAAAAAAAACATGCTTTCAAATTCATCGACAACGCTTTCGGTCAACGACAAATCCCCGATGGCCAATACAAAAACTTACAAAAGACGCCTTTAAAACTCCCCGATTATTCATCAACCCCGTACTTTGACGCTTTCTCTTCTGTTTTTTAACAGTTGAATCTTTGAACAGTATGTGGAATTTTCCAGAATAAGAGTTTACAACAAACGAATAATAAATCGAGAAAAGCCTTCCAAATACTTTAGATATTATAACGTTAGTCAAATTAAAATGCCTAATTAATCGATGTTGCCAAAAGCCCTGCGACAACGATTACTGAACTAAAAAATGCGAAAAACGAGATTTATGACGAAATGGACATCTGAGGGATTTTTCCGCGGATTTCGGCGAACGATTCGGGAGCGTCATCGTGGTTAAATGAGAGCGAAAATGCGCATTAAAAATCGAACACTCATGCACAAAGGAAGACAATGTAATTAACACATACCAACCTGTTGAATTTGACCTCACGCTTACCAACACCTTCAAAACCTCCCACGTGCTCGTACCTGTAGACTACTACGGGGAAGTACTGGATCGGTGGAAAGCTCGGAACACAGATGAAAACCATGCCGTTCGCTGAAAATAAATAAAAGAAAGCACACACAGCAGTACACAGACTTCGGGAGATAAAGAAAAAGTACCACCTTTTTCAACGTTGCTGCGCGCTTTTTTAATTTCAACCCGAAATACGACATCATTATTAAAGAAAGACGTATTCTAACATTTTCGAGAAAATCGGGTGACTCGTTCTTAATTTCATCAATATAAAAAGTTAGACAGTGATTAATTTTATTACATCTATTTATTTATATCTAATGAAAAAAAGGGGGTGGGGTGGTTAGATAGATGCATTTTGATTAAAAATTTACCATGCTTGTGATATCTACAACCTGCAAGATAGCATTCGATTTTGCAGTTCCTGATTTAATCCATTAAATAAATTGGCTAGTTCATTAATTTTTTTGAGTCATCCTGTATAAGCAATTCTAAACAGGCAATGATAAATCACAAGTATAGACTCCTCATATTTTACACATTTTCCGATAAGACTTACTCGGTAAAATTTTGAGAATATGTCACCAATTTTTTGGGGAGATAAACAGATATATTTTGGTGTATATTTTTGGCGTAAAATTGGTTACATACTTCTAATGTGTGTTTTTTAAAATTGAATGTAGGGATTATGCCCGTACTTCTTTTCACATGTTCAGAGTTAAAGAATGTCTCGGTGTGTAATTGTTGACAATACAAAAATCTCCAGGGGAACAATTTTTATACTGAATTAGAGGCTTGGTTTTCTTTTTTTTAATAAAAACCAAAAAAACAAAAGGTACAACGTATTTTGCCGTCTAAAAAACTGCCATTTGTAGAGATTGTCAATGTCACCTAGGGAATATTCTATATTTTTTTGTTAAACTATCCATCTTTACTTCCTGAGCGAAGCTAAGAAAGTATTGTAAAAGCGTCCATCCGAGGACTGGTACTTTTATGTTTTCTCGACGTTTCATAACACCTAAAGTAGGAAAAAGTAAGTTTCGCCTTTCTGTCGGTTTGTGTCAAATTTTATTAGACACGTAATTTCCGAAACTACTGGACCGTTTTTTGTCAAATTGATGTTAAAAACATCGCATAGATAATAAAACGTTAACCAAGATTTGTCTGATCATCTTGATATTATTTTTAAAGAGCAGTTACAGAAAAATGCTAATTTTACGAGGGCTTCAAAAAAAATCAGAATGAATTGCCTGAGTCCATGGTTGTTGTTTATCTGAATCTGAAATCACTGCATTAGATTTTATAGCTGTTCATGTTGACGAAAGACTTAACAGTTCCACAAAAACGCAAATGGTGCTTACTTTTTAACATTTAGAAGTTTCCGTAAAAAAAATAAAATTCACAAAATTAAATTTTATAAGAAGGGGATTCTGGATTATCTGGACTCTAATTATATGGGGGTTGACCGTAGCCAGTCGGCACTTAGGCCTCCCCTTTGGGCTCATTGTGCTTTCCCCAAGTCCAGATTAGGGTGTATTCCTGCTCCTCTACTCGTCAAACCACACAACTGCTTGAATGTACCTGAGTAATGCAGAGGGTGGGAACTCCCTCATTTTTGCCATATTAGGTCAGATGCCCCCTAGTATGAATTTCCTGTAGGAGGTTAACGCTGGTCATTCAGCAAGAATGTGCTCAGCTATTTCGTCTTATTAATTGCATCCACGATAGATTGGGTCTGTTACCACTCCTATTGTATGTACATGTTTTTTAAACTGGTAATGTCCCGTAAGGAATTCTACCAGTTTACACAATTTGTCCCATGAAAGTGAGAGATAAAATTTCGTCAACTTAGTCTGGTGTCGCTATATAAGCTTTGCTCTGCAGACAGCTGCTCAACGTCATCCATATTTGCTCATGGCATCTATGGGTATATTGCTTTACGAGTTCGTTCGAGAAGGCGACCGAAGGCATAATTGCCAGTTCGGGTGGCCAGAAGTCATGCGCGTGGCTCGCTTCGCCATGTCATCTACCCTCTCGTTTCCTTCCTTGCCACTGTATCCCTTGATTCAACAAAGACCTACACTATTCCTCTGCGTTACATCCCTTAGCGTTTATCTGCACTCCCAAACCAGCCCGGATCAAACCATGCAGCTGTCTCTAAGGCTAATAGTGCCGACTTGCTGTCAATAAGTATGCGTATAGATTTGTTGCCGATTTCATGTTCAGAAACGATTCTAGTTATCAGCATTTTTCCCATCAGTTCTGTTTGTAAGACAGACGTATGAGTACCGAGAGAGGTGTACTAGACACAAACATTTAGTGCGTCTATGGCTTCACACCAATTTAACTCCCATTATAATTCAGTAGGGCATCAGAGTCGGATATCTTAAATCCGCTTAGTGATAATAATCTACCTGAAAAGACCTTTTTTGGTAAAAGCACAGGGCAGTCCTGCCTTGGCCGTCCCTGACACGTGGCATGGTTTACATTTACCAAGTTTTATAAAGGATCGGCTGTAAAGTACTTTAAACGTCAAAGCCATAAACGCACTTTGCGTCTAGTATACATTAATATTCTATATGTCTTCTCATATATTTGTTTTGTGCCCATTCGGTCACAACTCCTCCCTAACAAGGGTATTCTGTTGAACGCCTCCGTCAAGATACAAGTGTGCTGTTATGCGGCCTTGCTTGTACCATACTCCTAGAGAGTGAAGTCTAATTAGAGACGTTCTCATTGCCGCTTCCTCTATGGAAAGGTTAAGAGCTGCTAAGCAAAGAAGTGTCTCCGGAACCGCTGCGGAAGTGGTTCTCATTGCTCCTGTAACACGCCAATCTCTGAACGTGTTCAAGTTGCAAAGCTGTTGTTTTTTTTTAGCTCTGAGCCACCAAACTAAAGCTCCATAGGACAGCATCGGTCTAACGATTGCCGTGTAGATCCAGAAGGCGATCTTGGGGTTTAAACCCGAAGATCTTCCCGTCACCCTACGACATTGCTAAAGAGCCGAGCGCGCTTTTTCCACTTTATCTACATGCTTTTTCCAGTTCAATACAACTCCCTGTCAAAACTGATACCATCAGAGATTTGGGGGTTATATTTGATCATCGGCTCAGTTTCTCCCAACATATTATAGCTATAACCTCATCTGCATCCAAAAGTTTGGGATTTGTAATGCGTTCCGCCAAGTATTTCAAAAATACGGACCTGCTTAAGTCACTATATTCTTTCTATGTCCATAGTAAGCTAGAATATGTCTCGATTGTGTGGTCTCCGTGTTATCTTACTTATCAACTACTTATTGAACGTGTCCAGCGTCGTTTTCTCAAATTTCTATCATTTAAAACTACAGGTGTATACCCAGCAAGGAATGTTCATTATGAAACTTTACTTCAGCAACACAACATGCAGTCCTTGACATCAAGAAGAAATTTGCAGAGTGCTCACTTTATGTGGAAAATAATCCATGATCAGGTAGATTGTCCCAATATTTTGTCTGAAGTTAACTTCCATGTACTGAGAAGAAATGCTCGTCATTCAGTGACATTTAGTTTTCCAACCTCGCGAACTAATATTCTGAAAAACTCACCACTCTGTCGATTGTGTAAAAATGCCAATGATCATTATGCGGACATATTTTTTCAGAAGAAGTGATGGAGATACAAATATAATTAGTGTTCTCATTATCTTTATATTTTATTTTATTTTAGTTTTAATTGTAAAGTCTGAATTGTATTTATTTTTGTCCTGTTAATGGATTTGTATCTGTTGGGCAAATACATATTATTATTATTATTATTATTAACTCCCCGGTATTTGACTTCGTAAGAAAGTTGAAGCGTTGCGTTGTGTTTTTGGCATCTGTGGTGTGCCCATTTTCCTTCTTCTAGTGAACAGGATTAATTTCGTCTTCTCTCCATGTACGAAAAGGGTTTGCCTGCTACACCATTTCTTATAAGTAGGGGAAGTTCTGTCGAAATAAATTTAGACATTATTTACCCTAGACATCCAGATTTTTGGAAAATAAATCAAAATTGTAACACCACAGTTTACAATTTAACTTTGAAAGTGTAAAAATGAAAAAAAAACCTGAAATCTTGCAAACGTTTTAAGGTTATCGTTGTCGTGGTAAATCGATAATCAAAATCATCTCCAAATTTTGCCTAAAATTTTTTTTTATATATTGGGATAACTAAAGTGTACATTTCATAATCAGTATAAACAAAATACATCTATAAATAAAAAGAAACCAAACAATAACCGTACAGCTTTAATTAGACAGCTAGATGCTGCATTCTCAATCCTAGTCCTTGTCTCCAACCTCTCCGGTCATTCGCCATATTTTCGTCTTTCGTTTAAGCCCCTGATTCTCATCGCTTTCTTTATTCCTTCGCTCCATGATTTGCGCGGACGTCCTCGTTTGTTTCTTCCGGGGATTCCATATGAACGCTTGTTTCGGCCATCGTGAATCCTGAGAAGGTGGCCAAACCATACGAGACTTCTTCTTTCAATACGGTCATTTACCGTTTTGGTTGCTGACGTTATGTTGCTAATTTCCTCATTTCTTACTCTTTCTCGATGTTCGAGTACTTCTTCTTAGATAGTCCATTTCGGCAGCAGTTATGTCTCTTGCCTTCCTCTTTCATTGACCATATTTCACACTCATATATTAACAAGGATTCTAGCATTCTATTCTTAGTAATGGTCTTATCCTTATGCCTAATAAATCCTGTATAAAATATGTTAGAAAATACTTACAGCTTCTTCGAAAATTTGTATCATTTGTACTAAATTCACTATTTTTGGGTTTTTGTAAAATTTTAAACTTACAGATTCCCCATGTCTAGTCCACTCAAATACTCTGTATTTATGTATTTGAACATTGTTATGATTCATTCTTGTTAACTTATTTTGTTTCTGAATTTAATCGTTCTAGCTGCTGTTAATGTATGTATTTGCAAGTAACATTTTAAAACATTCATTTGGCGAACCTCTGATCAACAAGTACTTCCCTAAATACAGCCCTGTCATTCAGGTAAATTTCAAAACGGCATGTGTATGCTGTCATCACTGGGCCGAGAATTCTGGCTTGGTTGTTATGACATTGTTCATCTACAACAGAGCCCAACTGACTCATAAGATGTTATTAGGACCCAGAACTAGTGAGTTTACTATATTAGCTCTCTTATTATCATAGAAAAGCAAATAAAAGGCATATAAAATTTCACATAATGGTTTATTAACTCTACTATATTCAGAAAATGGTAGGCTTAAAAGCCCCCGTTGTATGATCTACCGATCATCATCACATCATTAGTTTATTCTTATATTAATTAATAATAAACAATAGGTAATATATCAATAATCAATTCATGTCTATAAGACATAACGTGAACATGGAAACTTGACAAAATGTTTGACTACCTTAGAGTACTTATTAAAAAGATTACAAAATACTTAATGAAGAGAACAAGATCATGAAATAAACTTGAATGTTGAAGTTTGAGATTAGTGATAATAAATATCGTATCAGAACGGGCTACATCTTTATCATGTATGGCACAATTTGATTAACACAATCCTGACAAGAGTACCTACTGAAGGCAAGGACAGTCGGCAACTTCCCTACATAAAAATCAACTGTATAATCACACACTTTATCAAATATATAGTTCACACACTCCACCACGGACAGGCATGTAGAAAAGTGCAATTCCAACCGGTGAAAAATGGCCCCCAACACAATGATATTTTTATATAAGAGTTATACAAGAATAAATAATTTTAATATCAACACTCATGTAGGTAGAACCAAACTGATATATCAATCACGTGGCCCCAATCAAACCAAATAATGTCTTTCTACATGCCTGTCTATTATTCAGCAATAAGAAGATAGATTCCAATACCATGGTTACGACGTCCGCTTAAATATCATGCATACATTCATATTTAATCAGTTTTACACGTAAGTTTAGTGATCGTTAATTAAATATCACTATATTTGATAATATTTTTATAATTTATATCTTTCAAAAAATAACTGCAAGTTTCTCCTTATTCCTGAATAACCTCGCCCCTTCACAGGATTATTGTAAAGAAATTCCTAAAATTAATGCACCAGGAACCTCTCGTCCATTGAGACTACTAATCGGTATACAATAGTTGATTTAGCTCGACTCAAGGAAGGAGTTTTTCCGTGGAACTGCTTAACAGAACTGATGAAAAACAAATGCAGATGGCTCGGATGCTTCATATGCGTTTGTTTTTTAACAGACGATGCAAACAGCTAATCGTTTGCTTTGTGATGTGACTTAAATAACAATCATTACTAAAATATCACAAAATTGTTGTTGATAAATGAAAAAATAATGAGCCACTATATACAAAGTATATTTTATACAAATAGTGTTTACTGTATTTGATTAGCAGATATTAAAAAGTCCTCTTCTATGTGGCTCATATAAGAAATTCACTCTGTTATCATTTTCAGGTATTTTTTCAGATGTTTTAAAAATATATCAATAACAACAATTAGGTTAAAAATGGGCAGCCTGCTAGGTGACCTGATTATTGCGCAGGTCAATACTACTTAAGGATAAGAAATCTCACAAAACATAACTCGCCAGTTGTCAGTTACCAAAACAACAAAAAAAAAACACAAAACAAATCAACAAGACAGATAAATATATAAAAATAGATCAATTTAAAAAAAAAACCTACGTGCTACGTAAAGATTTAATGGCAACTGACAGACTCCAGAGAGAGAGAGAGAAAGAGAGAGAACAAATTCCATAAACAACCACAACAAAACCAAAGCCGTAAGTAATAATAGATCACATTGTCTGTCAGCAAAGCTCGAGGCATTTAGCAATAGCTGCTTTAAGCATAGCAAAGAATTTTATATAACCCAAAGCAATTATGTGCATTAATGATAGTCTCCCTCGCTGTTAACACATTACGTAGATAAAAAAAAAACCAAACCACTTACAAATTAATATTGTCATTTCTACTGTACATTAGTAAAAAATCAATAACAAATATTCGTAAAGTACAATTACATTTTTTTTCTGGTCTGGTATTACATATACATATATACATAATGTGTAAACGGCATAATTGGTGTTCGTTCTTTTTTGTTATAATTACTCTTTAAGAGGAAGCGACACTTCAAAAAGGACTTTGTATAAAGTAGTTAGCAAAATCACCAAACGCTTTTAAAATCTTTAAGTATCATCAACAACAACTATACAATAAGAACGATAAATGAAGGTAATTTAACTTTAGAGGGTAACAGAGGAAAACATTGTCAAAATGTATTATTATACAAAATGCAATAAAAATGGAAGCCAAACTGGATTAGAATTTTTTAATCTTCCTCAGCTTTCCCTCTCATTTGAAATAATAGTAATGAAAAAAGTCAAACAGATAATATAATTTTGCCATGATCTCATCAACTTGTGTGGTTAAAAAGCTTAAGCGTTTTTAAAATTAAGCTCGGGTCTGTAGGGTGAAAACGCAAAGAAAATTGCAAGACTCGTATTTCAACTTTTCACGCAAATGAAGAAATATCGCTAAGAAACAGCTAAATCTATAACTATATTAAGTATAGAACAAGACGTAATATTTGATCTAGGGACATGCAAGATAATATAATGTTATATGTTAGGAAATTATTCTAGGTAAGGTTAACTATGGACTATAATAATAATAATATAGCATGGGTACTGTACAGACACGTAATATTCAACTGTCTCTTGCTGTTCGGATCTGCAGACTAGGCCTAAAGGAAAGCGTGAATTTATTCATACTATTACTGTAAACTGTTATGTAAAGAACTGCAGATCGAACAACAGCGGGAATGGCAGGGGCACATAAACAGCGCAACCCAAGAGAAGAGCTAACCTAGCAAACGATGCAAATGCACTAAGCAAAGCAGAGACCCGCGCTCTGACTGTGGAAGCTCTCACTCTATCATGGTATTAAAGGGAAAGACCTGATTAGTTACAATATTTACGTAACAAGTTGTTTAATACTTAATTTGTTAAATCCTAGCAATTTTTATTTAAATATTATCAAGTAGATGAATAAAATAACTCCAATAATGCGAGTTTGTCCGATACGACCTATATCTATGTACAATATAATAATTAATAATCATAATAACAGCACTCACTCAGACAGACCACCCGATATCACACATGGCGCCCCATCTCGCCCTTTAATACCAGACTGTCGGACTGTGGAACTTACTTTAAATGCTTTTCAGGAACATTTGTGTTTCGAGTTCAATTCTTAATTGTGGCACTTGGTCGGGAGATATCGAGTTATAAAGTAAATTATTAATATTAATAAACTAAAAAAACAAACCTACTTGATTTTGACTAGACGAATTGATCATCAGCCCGAGGTTTATAATGTAGTTTCGTCTGAAAACCATACAGGCATCTTAAAAATACGCGCGAGTATATTTTGAAAAAGTTACTTCAGTCAAATTCTCAACGGTCCCATTAGTAACGCCAGTGTATGTTATACAAAAGCACAAATTACTTTCATGGACCCTACAGAACGTCGTCATAACTTTCTCGTACAATTTTTAAATATACAAATAATAATATTTTAGAATATGTCACAGTTTGAAACATCTAACACCAATATACAAAATCACAGCAATATAAAACGAAACTTTAAAAAATTTAATAACACAGCTTATGAATACTCTGGAACTAATAATGATGCTCCAGATATCTCCCAGTTCGACTATTGTTGACTCTGGCCCACTGCCTGGGTCGAACCCGCGGGACGTTCATTCTTTTTTTTTAATAATTTGTTGATAACAATGAATATAGGGTGGCGTGTTGCACCTATGAGATAGCAGAACGCCCTATGCAGAACTCGTCTCGGAAACGGTAACGACCCTACATAAAACAAGGTAAAAAAATTCAATATCACGCGTTTAGAACATATTATGTATAAATCCAAAAATCTGCTCCCTCAAATTTAACATCTATCACAAACTTTTTTTTAATCTACAGACATGCTGCATCGGCCACAGTCTATATGAGTTACCGGTAGTAGTATACAACCGGTAACAGTTTGGGAAAGCCAGTTTCATTGGATCAATACGCAATACCTTACATATGTATAGTGACGAATTTCCGACACGACACAGTGTAAAGACATTTGTCAAACAGATTTTTAATGTTATTATAATAACTTTTTGTTCTGACATAGGACATTCAGTCACTCAGATAATCTTACTGTACTACACTATTCAATCAAAAAACTAATTTAAACACAAACATTTTTTGTCATTATATGACCATTATACAATATAATAATAAAAAGTTCTTTATAAACATGACATAAATAAACGGTTCGGTGTTTGTCGTTGTGACTACTGCAGGTAAGAGGCCAAGGCAGCCATGACAGGTGCTGGTGGCAGCGCTATTGGGATGTGGTAGTATTTACAGGTGGAACGAGAGCACTGTCCCTTCGCAGCGTCACGGCAAACGGCCACTCGATTATCCACCACTTCCACCCCATCTCCTATAAAATTAAGTCAATGTTAAACAAATATTAAGAAATATTATATACAGAAGAACGAGTAACACTGCTAGCATAATGAATTAATTACATGATTTAATTTAATATAAAAATAATACAAAATTGTTTTCACAGCAGGATTAATATTTGAGATTTTTTTATTTTAAACAGAAAACATAAGTCATGAAAAAAAAAAAACAAACAAAAAAAAATATCCCAATTTACAGTGAAGAGTACAAGAAATTGAAGATTTCTACGTACTAAATAACGGGTGGTTTTCAGAATCCGAGAAATGATTAGTAAAAGCAATAACATTTTAAGGCGACGTCATTAATTTTTTGGAAGAGATGACCGGGTAAACATACGATTGTCGATCATTTTTAAGTACGCATAGGTACAATTTCAAATTTAGGAGTTATATATTGTTTAATAAAACCGTCAATACAAATTAATTTACCTATAATTAATTTTTCGTCGATTTTGTAGATCAAAATTGGAAATTTTGTGTAATCCACTAAATTTTAAAACAATTTAAAAAAATTTGTGCAACGTGAATCCCAAAAATTGCATTTTATGAAACTTTTAACATAATAGTGTAAGACACTACGATTGTACTTTTGATTTCGCATTATGAAATTTATAAAGATCTAATTTAGATGGTACGGGCGAAAACAAATAATCTCAAAACAAAAACAGCTTTTTAAAAATGCTTTCCTTAGGTACCTACTTAGGTAACTAAAATATTCAAACCATGACGGAAAATGTTTTTGGCCTATATGCGTATTATGAATTTTTCAGCAAAAAACAATGTCATACGCAGAAGGACTTCATGGACGTGACTGGGGATGAAAATGAATAGATTTGTAAAAATACCTAAAAAATAGATGAATGTGGGTTGAATTACTTATTATACAGTGCCTCTTTTTTAAAAGTGGCCATAGGGATTCCCATGTTAAATTTTAGACCCCATGTTAACTTTTGTTAGGGTGAAAACCCAGAGATGATTTTTGCGGAGAAAATGACCTTAAGGTTCTAAGTACTTTAATTTTTACTACCGTTTTTTGCAGTAATTTGATAATTTGTGCTTTAAAAAATAAAAATTATTTTGATTAAAAAAGTTTCGTACATCATAGCCGGTTTTGACTTATACATTTCAACTTGTCATTTTTGATAGCATAATTTTGATTTAATCATTATAGTTATTTATGTATTAAGGGCATAATCAGGGAGATTGTGGCACGAGGAAATGTTTAAAGCCCGACGAAGGAGGGCTTTTAATTTCCCGAGTGCCACAATCGACAATTATGCACGTGGTACATACAACGTTTTATTATATTTTAGTTTCTAAACTATTTTTAACGAAATATTGAGTATTTTCGGCAAGACTGTGTGAATTGTGCCGATCCGAACTTTAATACATAGCTAGCTATTATTTTGATGTTGTTATGGATACCACGTTGATTATTTGATAATTCGTTTTTCAAAATGCAAATTAAAGACGCCGAAAACGTTCATTCAAAAGAAAGTTTAGAAGAATTTGAAGTCGGTCAGGTAACGATTTGATAAAATATTATTTTTTCACTAGCAGCCATCAAGCACGCAAATCCCGACTCATTTAGATGTAGCAAATTCAACTTTTGCGACCACCGGTTCAAAAAGAAAAATTGAGGTTATGTACGCAATGTTTGATGTGATTATTTCTTAAAAAATGAACAAATGTGTGCTACAAACATTACTTGAGTATACGCACGGTAGTTGGTAGACGGTAGAAGATAAAATGATTAACTCAGCGTCAAGTATAAACGGTTTTCTTTGTGTTGAAGATTTAGATCAAGTTTGATTAGAAATCAAAACAAAATCATGTTGCGTCAAAAAATTGAACGTTTATTTTTTCAGTTTATTGTCTTATGGTTTCTACTAGTGAAAAAAATAGTATATTAACCACGGTTGCAAAGCCACTTCTAGACCTCGCGCTTCAGAGCCCTCGACGCTGCGCGTCTCGGGTTCTAATTTGCGCTCGGTCTAGAATGCTTGGCTCTGCAACCTTGGCCAATAATATACTATTTTCCAACTTAAAATGTTGAATATCGAAGCTTGTTTGAATAATTAATTGATTAGTGTAAATGAACAGTCAATTGTAGCTTAGCAATTTTTGACAGATTTGTGCAATAAAGGCCAACTTACGCCCGCATTTGGGTGCTTATAAACAAGATTACGATTCTAAAATAGAATAAAATACCTTAATTGCAGTTTTTAGAAAAGAAACAGAATGATGGAATTCAAGCATAAATGAAGGTAATAAAAGATAATTTCACTGAAATTGCGTTTTTAATGTCCAAGATCGAAAAAACCTGTGTTTATAAATCTGCCACACAATTTTCAAAATGTGCTCTAGCCGGGTATGGAACGATGTGGGAATGCTGCAGCAAAATTTTGCGGAGTTTCTCTGTTGTCGATAAGGCTTTAATGTATCCATCAGTGACCATTTCTACTTTTTCTTTAATTGTGTACTGCGGTATGTTGACGAATTTCGGTCACTAAAAACCACTAATTGAACGAGTAATCAAAGTTTAGAAATGTCAGGTAAATGGCTGTTTTTACATGGCGACAAAAATAACCAAATATTTTAATTTTTTGAAAGATTTATCCTTTAATTTAAAACATGATTTTTTCATAAAATCGACAAAAGATAACCCAAGTTACAACCAGTAAAAATTTCAGCCCTGAATCTTTATTCAAACATAAGTTAACATGGGGTATAAAATTCAACATGGGAACCCCTATGGCCATTTTTAAAAAAGATGCACTGTATAAACACAGTTAATATAATAAATGCATAAATACAGTTGCCGATTCTTGACTGGGGAAGACAATAAGTGAAATATTTTAATAGTTGAATACATTTTGGTGTTCAATCTTGTCTATAACAAGGAACTGTAAATTTATATTTATTACGTGCTTGGTAATTAAAAGTCTGATTGTTGTTCATATCTACCTATACATCAATAGATCTAAATGCAGGGAGGGAAAAGTACGATGTGTACTTTGTTTTCTGATGAAAGGCTTTCATATTATCAGATTTGATAAAATACCAACTGACTTACCAGGATTTTTCCAAACCATGACGCAGTAATTAATAAACTGTTAAAACAACTAAAATTTTAAAGCTGTTTCAATACAACAATATGTCATTAATTTCTTCCGTGTGCATAATATGGAATATAGATCTGGGATCAGTAGTTTTATTCGTTTGTTATACTTTATGAACACTTGCCGCAAAGGCTCATGGCTTGTAGGACTGGCATACCAAACCATACAAGCGATGAAGTGATTCTCCTCGGTCACCCACCCAAGTCTTGATTTCGGGCTGCCCTGCTTAACTAGTATTATCGCCAAGACTCGACCTGTCCATACTACACCCTCACTATGTTTTAATGCAAAAAAACTCTATTCGATGTTAAGTACATCTGATTTCTTAAGTTTTCCCTTGTTTTTTGAATATTTTCGTGTGTAGTAACTTAATATCTTCTACGAGACCAGATGAATTGACAACATTTATGTTGTCTCTAAACTATATGCAATTTTGTGAGTTAAGTGGGTCAATATTGAGAGCAATCTCATTAATACCGAAACAAGAAACAATATTGATGAATCGTTCTTGCTTGATGCAATTGAAATTTCAGCACACAACATACGGGACTAAATCAGCATCAAAATTATCAAAGATATTTTTCGTGAAATTTAGAACTGCCTAAACAGAAACTGTTCGCTGTAAATAGGGGACCATTTTAAAAAAAATTAACAAGCTTTTTTAAAGAAATATTTCAAGTATTTTACAAATGGTTGGTATGTTGTTTATAGGTTTGTAGTTGCAGATATTACCTATACCATTTCTATTTCCCCAGCGTAAGCGAAGTGGGCGACTAGCTACTTCCATATTTTGTCGACGTTTCATGACCCCTAGAGACCAAAAAGTGGTCTCCTATTTCCGTCTGTCTGCCGTCTCTGTCGCTTTTTATTAGGTAGATAATCTCCGAAATCAACTGTCGTCAAATTTTATATGTACTTTCGGAGCATTGTGTACCTAGTAAAACGCTAACCAAAACACATTATAGGAACATTCATTACCGCGGTGATGGAGGTTCAATCTTGGCGGGTCGCAGTTTTTTTTTTAATTGATCAAATCATCCTATGTTCCCAAAAATTTGAGAATACACTACTGTTATTATTAGTATTATGTTGTATCTTATATTTAAATTGATATAAGTGTCCTTACTAAAATGTTGATGAAGTCATAACAAAATTTTGTTACGGAAAACTCATTTGAAACAATCTTTCTTTACATAAATATAACGACGTAGTCGTGGTAATTTCTAAACATCCTCGAAATACGCTTTCCAAATTAAAAAACTAAAAATTACGTCGAATCCAGTTTTGATGCCTCACTGAATGTGCGTTAAAATAAGCAGTCATTACTTAGGACGCATAAAATGCACGAACTGCACTCCATGTTCGATGTTCCACCGAGATGTGCAGACCACAACTGAGGGCAAGGAAAGCACTGACGAGTTTTTTTGATTTGGACACTGATAAATCGACTTCATTTTTTCAAAGAAAAAATATTTAAATTAAATAATTTGGCGGACAATTTGGTTGGGCAAGTTTATTTCTATTGACGTACGGCACAGCAGCAGGATGAGTGACAAGAATAATTTAGATCTTTAGAATGGGAAAGAAATGGATGAAAATATAGTGTGGTAAAGTACTTCAGTCTATGCACTGTTTGAAATTCAGCCGTATTTTTACACGATGTTAAAGTAAATAACATTGCACAATGTAACTGCTTGACGTATACAGGGCGATTTTTTTAACCTGAAACTTTCATATATCTCGAAAAATAAGTACTCTGCGAAAAAATGACCAGAGTCAAAATTTAATCATGTCGTGGGGGAAATACTGTGCTATTTTTTTATTGCAGATTCAGGGTCTACGGTTAAAAGTAC